CTCTCTCTCTCTCCCCCTCTCTCTCTCTCTCTCTCACTCCTACTCCTACTCCCACTCCCTCCCCCCCTTTCTCTCCCACTCCCTCCCTGCCTTTCTCTCCCACTCGCTTTTTTTTTCCTCCCACACTCCTCTCTCCCTCCCTCCCTCCCCCCCTTCCCCTCCTCTCTTCTATCCCTCCTCTCCACCCTCCTCTCTCTTTAACGATCCTCTATTTCTCCCTCGCTCGTGTACATCCCTGCCCCCCCTCCCCCCCTCCCCCCCATTTCCCAAGAGCGAGTGGAATCCAGTAATCAGAGAGCAACCGACAATCGCGACCTTCTCTGCCTCCTTGACATTTTTCCCCAACTCCAGAGGCAAGAGAATGACACGGAATGACACGAAGCGGGTCGTCGAGACATGGTATTTCTAGGCGCGATTTTCCTTTTGCTTGTTTTTTTTTTTTTTTTTTTTTTTTTATCGGTGTTTCTGTGTGGGATATATTTTTAGGTTTTGTGGGTTGGTGTTGTGGGCTGTGTGTGTGTGTGTGTGTGTGTGTGTGTGTGTGTGTGTGTGTGTGTGTGTGTGTGTGTGTGTGTGTGTGTGTGTGTGTGTGTGTGTGAGTATATATGTATGTATATATATGTATGTATGTATATATATATATATATATATATATATATATATATATATATGTATATATGTATATATATATGTATGTGTGTGTATATATAATATATGTACATACATACATACATACATATATATATATATATATATATATATATATATATATATATATATATATGTGTGTGTGTGTGTGTGTGTGTGTGTGTTGTGTGTGTGTGTGTGTGTATGTATATATATGTATACTTATATGTTTGTGTGTATGGGTGTACACACATACACACACACACACACACACACACACACACACACACACACACACACACACACACACACACACACACACACACACACACACACACACACACACACATATATATATATATATGTACATATACACATTCCTCCATTCATCCTGCCATTTCATCTAGTTACCCCGGTGATGAAGAATATTCCGTCCGGTCTCCATAAAGGTACATTTCCCTCGCGGAATTTCATTCACAAGGCTCTGGCTTCATCTGCTTCTCGACCCTGAACATCCCAGCAGGGGAGACGCTCCTGGATCTCCAATAAAACCGCCTCACAAACTAGCTTCTGAGAACATTTTTCATATTCTATCCTCTAAGTATATTTTGGGAAACAGTGCGTCGAGTAAACAATGCTTGTCACGGTGTTACCATGGCGTTATATTTCATTTTGAGATTTTTTTTTTCTTTTTTCTTTTCTTTTTTTGGATTATTAAGGCGGAGGATGTGGCGTAAGAAAGATCTAACTTCATTATTTCAGTATGAATTTGGGTTAAGAGTTGCAAGGGGGAACGATAACTTAATATGCGTGTGAATTGCGTCATGGTGCAATAAGTCTTTATCAATGTTGCAGGTGTTTCCAAGTATAGTAAAGCAGAAATCTAAAGTTTTTTTTTTTGTATAAAACTATCTTGAAAGATATTCTAATATATATTCAGTTATTAAATTCTTTAAGCCTCAGATACAATAGCCATGAACACGGCAAGGTAGCAACAAGTCCCTCTAGAGCAAGCTAGCAACACGACATTACAAAGCAACTGCAACCAAGAGCGGAAATGGCGTCATCATATACCGCCTTAGTCAGCAGTCAAAGTCATCAAACCCGGGCTACACGTGTGAGAAACGGCCACTACTCCAGCCTTCTTATATCAGGAGGCGGTGGTAGTTTATGACACGTGTCATTTCTTGGTTGTCACTGAGATAGTTGCCATTTTAGTTGATTGTCACGAGATGGGCAATAAGATGCTGGCATTCATAATATATTCACTTATACGTGCACACACAATCATATCTATATACAGTTATAAAGACTCTTAAATAAATATTCATATATATGTAGTGTTACATTCTAGTGATTTTTAAGTTACGATCTAGTGGGAAATGTTTTACTCTATAGCGATTTTTAAGTCCTTTTTAGCGAGGAAATTATTAGCTTTTACACCTATGTCTAGCGATTTTTAAAGTACAGTCTAGTGATACTGCTGTGGAAATATGAATGCTACACTGTATACACACACACACATATATATATATATGGGGGGGGGGCGTGAATGTACGTATATATATATATATATATATATATATATATATATATATATATATATATATATATTTATATATATATATATATATATATATATATATGTATATATATATATATATATATATATATATATATATATATATATATATATATATATATATATATATATATATATATATATATATATATATATATATATCACGATGAATATAAAAATATCGTTAAATTAAGCCTAGTTTTTATTGATCAAAGATTCCCTTTTGAGATCTTTCTCTTAAATGACGCTTTCTATATACAGCTAAGCATGTTCAGAATCCTCCTGGAAACA